AAATCGATTTGATATGAAATCGGCCTAACCCAAAATTAGTATGGTCAATCTAACACAAAATTAATTCTATAATAGGGTTTTAGAGTTGTTCAAAAAAAAAAATATAGGGAGATTCTTCTAAAATTATCATTCAGCAATTTTCTGGTTTTAGGAAATGAGACTTAAAAAAAAAAAACCTAGCCGCTCTAGCGATCTCTCTCTAAACTTTCCAATTTCGCATCCTTCACGGTACACTGATCCAGGTCGGCTTCGGCCATGGGACCACCACCGCCGGACTCGGTCCTTGTCGAAACCCCCTTACTGCTATCCAGAAGAAAAACCCTTCCTCCTCCTCGCCCGTATCAGCTAATACAAGTCCAACCCCTAAGATCCAAACTAAGTTTGAAGTTGTTGATGGAGTAGCCAAGGCTACAATACCAGAAGCAGTGTTGCAAAACTCCCAGCCTTTATGGACCAACTATATTGTTGGCTATTTCATTGATGAAGCGCCTCATATAGAAAAAGTTCATGCTACAGTCAACCGAATATGGGCAGCTAATGACAGACCAACCAAGATCGATGCCCAATTTTTGAATCCAAAAACGGTCCTGTTTTGAATGGATGATTCACATATGAGAGCATGTGTGCTCAAGAGACATTTCTAGCATATCAGAGATATTCTTTTAGTGGTCCAAGAATGGAACCCTAGAGCAAAGAATCTCACGCCAGATTTATCTGCTTTGCCCATTTGGGTCGATCTCATGGAAGTACCAGATTGCTTGTATTCGGAGAAAGGTCTAATGTTTTTGGGAGATATCATTAGGGAGTCTAAAAAGCTTCATCCAAGCACTGAGAGATGTATCCGATTAGATGTGGCTCGTATTCTCGTTGTTGTAAATTTGGAGAAGCCGCTCCCGAGTAAGATAGATTTGAGCGATGAGCAAGAGACGCTAATCTCAGTCTCTTACCTGTGCCTTCCTTCACGATGTCAAACATGTCAGGCATAGGGGCATAAAGATATTGAGTGCGAACAAATGAAGACGAGTTATGTTGTGTTATTAGGAAGAGACAAGAGGACGCATGCTAGAGATGAGAAGAAACCAAATAGTGATGTGCTTGTGGATAGAATGGAGGAAGAGAGAAAAGAAGTAAAAGAGAACACGAAAGGTTTGGCACATGAACAGGGCACAGAGACTGAGCAAGAAAGCATAAAGGCTGATGGTAATATGGCTACAGATAC